TGCATCACCTCATTTGTCATAGAAATATTTTTCTTTTTCAAGTATCTGCAAAAATGATTGAGCCGGATAAACACCAGTCAGTGTATTCACATGAAGCCTCTCCCTGCAGCTAAAGGAACAGGAAACATGTCTCACTGGCTGCATTTAAATAGAAAATGTGTGTAAAACTTTGCCGATATTCCGCTAATATTGAAAAGAAAAACACAAATTTGCAATTGCGATGTTTCCATCTGGTAAGAAATGCAATAAAAGTCACGTGAATATGTTCGTTCACGCGATAAGTCACTAAAAAAAAACACGTCATGATCCTCAAACCATTTCCTGATCCTGTGGTTTTTGTCGGTGCCAGAACACGGTTGTTGATCATGTGATACGAAATACAAATAAAAAAATAAAAAAAACACCTCTATCTAGTTCCAAAACGTATTTATTGAAGACTAAGAGTTTTTTTGTTTTTTTTCCAAAATTGGCGTGTTTCCATTGTGCGAATTTATCTTCCATAATGTCAGATTGCGCAAATATATGATCAATGAAATGCAGTTACTAACTCTTCGTGTCCAATAAGTACCTCTCATATTGCAGCTGAACTGAGCTACGGCTCAGCAACGGCAGCCATCAGTCTGAGACCAGTGCTCTGTCTTTGTCTTTGTCATTGCACATAAAATCCACGTGCTGTAAGCAAAGACAGTCCACAGAGTGGCGTGTCAAACACTGCTGACATGCAAAAGGAGGTCAAAACAGGTCGTCACCAGTGACGACGACCTGTAAGTTCATGCCTTAACTCCTCAAGGCGTGGATTTAGACCTGGTGCCAGAAACGTTCCTCAGAAGTTTTGGCTCCGTCACACGGCTGCTGCAGATTTATCTTTTGCACATCTACGACGGCTGTGCATTGCGACGTATGTGCCGCCCGTGTGACTGGAGCTGCTGTGAAATGGAATATTGACTTGGAAAAAAAAAAAAGGTTGGAGATATCATCCCTTTCTTTCACTGCTTGGCATCACAGGTATGTCTTACTGCTGCTGACAATCTTCACGCACATTATTACTATTATGGCAATCTCTGCAGAAAGCAGCATGAAGAACCGAACCTGCAGCAGCATTTCTGTGTTCACAACAGGGTTGATTTAAATCAGGAAGCTGAAGATACGGCCGCAGTCTGGGAGACGACTTCCCTCTTCTTAAAGCGCGAAACACACTCTAGCTGTGTTTACATTACAAATTTTGTCAGTAGCTTTGTCAGTAGATCATATAATTACTGGTTTGTTTCACAAAACTGCAATGGAAACACTTTTTTTGCATCATCGGATCAACACCCGGATGTTACTACTGGTACAAATCCACGAAGAAGAAGACAGGAAGTAGATGGAGGATCATGATGCAGAGTGTTTTTGAGTGACTTACTGCATGAACAAACTTATACGTTTTTTTCTAGGTGATCAGTTGTAATTAGGGAAAAACGTCAGTAGTATTCTTCTTTAGAGGTTACTTGGTGTCAAAATATTTTTTGAGTCCTCTAAAGTGGAAGGAGGGACTGAATATTCTTGAGTTGCCTTTTTCTATAACTGCCATATTTAAAAAAAAAATTAACACATTTTTTGTTAAATATTTTTTCAACAAAAATGTTCTTGGACTACTGGATCAACTACTGGATGGCCAGTAGTTGATAGTATATTGTATGAAGCACTAGTGTCCACTTCAGTGCTCTGTCTGCATTTATAGCGTAAAAAATCCACAAGAAATAAAAATAAAAAAACACGGCTTTTCGATCGTTGTCCTCTGAAGTGACCACTATTCATGAAAGGGTTAATTTCAGAATGATTCAATTTACAGGAAGAATCACCCCAGTGGTTTTTCTACAATCTGCAGCATCATTTGTTGGTTCAGTAACGCTGATCCAACAGGATTCCTCTAGATGCTGTTGGATCTTTTCACAGATAATATGCTCTCAGCACACAGTGACAGTTTTAGCAAATATGTCAAACATTTTTCTTTTATAAAAGTTACAAACTGCAACAAACCAAGCTGTATGTACAGATATGGTGCAGTGCTGTTGATGACAATGATGAGGAAATAAAAGGTTCAATTAACAACGAGAAGCTAAGCAGCAGAGCGGAGGAGACGATGCATCCCCTCGCTCCCAAACAGCCTCGCTGTTCACTTGGTGAAAAGAATCAGATTCCGCCTTCATGTTTATTTCTGGCTGACTGAATGTACAAGTTTACATTTTGACAGGCCGCTACTGAAACTTACCTTTCAGTTTGCTGGGTACTTAGTTGACATGAGCAACTGAGAGGCGGTGACAGCCATGACAGCTGAGCTGCGCTGCTAAAATCTGCCATCTCAAACAGACGAGCAGAGTTTTGGAGAAAAGCCCTTATTAAGCCCATTTGGCACCCGGGGGACGCGCGCACCCCGAACAGTTGATCGTCAGTTTCTCTACCTCAACAAACTATTCACGAGTCAAATTAGATGTCGCTTGTCTGACACCGAAGGATTGCCTTAAGTTAAGTCATCACCGGGAGAAACGGTCCCACATGTTGCAAACGGACCCGGTGGGAAAAGAATCAAGATGTCGCAATGGTCAAGTCGAAAGTTTGGACCGTAATCGGGTGGGAACTGAAGGAAGCAGAAACATAATCCCAAAACAGAAGTTTGTTGGGTTTTTTAAAACACCAAATGTAGTTTCAGTGGTGAATTCTGTCCCATTGCAACTTTTAAAACTGGATTTTCTAAAATACTTGCATTAGCCTGTTTGAACTGAAAACTGATTCCCAGCTACACATTCAAACCTTTGTGCAGTGCGACTGATCAGCTTGACTTTTATCTTGGCAAAGAAACCATTTAAGGGTTCAAATTGTTGGTAAAAATGTGTGTGCACATTATTACAGTGTGAATTAAATGGACACAGTCTGGAGTTTACACTTCTTCCCTAAAACACAGTTTAATATAAATGTTTTGCGTAGAAGTAGACAGACAGGGATAATTTTTTATACTTTTCTGACATTCTAAAACAAGCTTAGGACTAAATGATTGTACACTTATAACAAATGTCATAAAACGTGATCGCAACAAAAAAAAATAGTGTGAAGAAAAAAAGTAGCAATTCCTTTTTCTCCCAATAAATTATTGTTCAGCTCCCATCTCGTCTCCTGAACCCAATATTTTATGTCTGGTTTTGTGAGCTGTGTGTGATGTCACACCTCAGTTCTGAAGCTTAAACCAGAATAAAAGAACAGGCGTCACATGATGCTAATAAGTCCTCACACGATTTCTAGTTTTGACAGTTTTGCTAAAAATACTGTCAGTGAGTTTTTAACACTGCTTATAATATGTTTGCAAAAATCTGCGTTATTAATCATGTCGATAATATCAGTGTATGCATTAATAATTAAACAAAGGACTGTTTGGACCGCAATATCCAGACGTTTGTTGTTTCGGCATGAATATACACACAGGGCTGGGTTGATTTTGAAAATTGATACAATGTAATAGTAAGGATGTTGAGTTTTAGGGCTACTTCTGTTTCGGATTTTAAAGTTTGTATCAATAATTGAGAATGAGCATGGAGTAGTATAGCCCATCTGTTAAATTAGTCAAGATATGTTACAAAAAGCCTAAGGAAATGTAAAGCAGCAGGACTTTCACAGATCACCTCAAGTAGACGACTCCCCTCACCTCTCCGGTCTTGGCCGGCGTGTTTGTAAAAAAATCAGGTCGGCCTTTGGGTCGGTCTCACAAGGCTGCACTTCCCTGAGATACTGCAGCAAGTTTTAAAGTTCACAGAAGTTGGTATCACTTCCAATCACTGCTCCCCATACTCAAAGCACTTTGGTTAGCTTCAGGGTAGCCATTGGAAAGGACTAGCTTAGCCAGACACATGCTGGTGCTTCGTTTCATTCTTAAATTACACTAACTCAGCCATTCAGGAGCTCAGATCTCATTAAGCAGAGCTCCGCGGGAAGGAACACTGACGCCTGAAGGTGCTCCTCCTCTCATCACCGTAATCAGCTCTGCTCTCGGCTCACCAGGCTGTCTGCAAACACCGCACCCGCCTAAGCACTGCTGGCGTTAACCCTTTTAAGGCCGGGCTGCACCTAACTGTGCAAAAATATGTTCACATAAAAAAAATATTCTCTTTATTGCAAAATGTCTTGATGGATCTTAGCATTTGTAATGCAGTAAAAACTGTAGTGCAGCAAGAAAACAACATAAAACACGACATTTTCTTTTCAATACCTTAAAGCTACAAGATGCAAATGCTATTCACATTTTTTTTACATATTTGTTAAAATGTACATAGTAAGAGACAGATAATGAAAGACGTGAGCTCCTCTGCCTTCTTGCAGTACTAGCTGCAGAAACAAGCCACTAACCAATCAGAGCCAGGAGGAGGGTCTTAACGCTGTTAATCATCGCATGCATGCGCTGCTCACTCTCTCCCCTGTGCTCTCAGCTACACTAGAGCTTCTTTCCTGCCATGAATGCTAAGGTAAGGTTTTTATTTTCAGCAACAGGGCAGTTCAAAGTGCTTTACATGAATTAGAAGAAAATACAACAAACCAAAGGAAAGACAAAAAGGTAGCAAAAGAAAAAAAAACTAAGTATATAATGCTAGTGCTAGTTAGCATAATACAGGCAGATAATCGGTTTTCTTGTAATAATACACATTTAGAATCGCCTACATGAGGATGATTGACAGCACTAAGACTCTCCCCCTGGCTCTGATTGGTTGGAGCAGTTCTTTTCTTCAGATGATATTTGTAGCACCATTTTGTCTTTTTACAGATTGTCTGTAAAATAGTGACAATTTTAACAAATATGTAAAAACTTTATATGTATATATATATATATATATATATATATATATATATATATATATATATATATATATATATATATAAAGTTACACACTTCAGCTTTAAATGATCAAACAAACATTTTCAATTGTAAAAATTTTTTACCAGTAAGAAATCCATAAGTTTGATAACCAAACACTTACCCGTGATGAGGTTGTCCACCAGAGTTGTAGGGATGCAGAAGATCCCCACGAGGAGGTCGCTGACCGCCAGATTGAGGATGAAGAGGTTGGTCACTGTGCGCATGCATCGGTTCTCCAGGACGATCAGACACACCAGGACGTTTCCCACCATGCACAGCAGGAAGATGAAGGAGTAGGCCAGGATGTAGCTGGCTGCTACGTACAGGGAGTGCTGGTAGTAGGGGAAGAAGGTGAGGTTGGTGAAGTTGGCAGTGCTGTCCAAGCTGCCGTTGAGAAGGGTTGCTATGACGGCGGATCCCTCGGTCTCCATGGCTTCCTCGCCCATGTTCTCCAGGATCTCCATCTTTTACATGTGGCAGCACGAACTGTACGGGAGTGAAACAGAGAAAACAGGAGACGATTGACAATATAATCTGAACTAAGTTCTGACAGAATGGGGGAAAAATGAAACAGGAATAAACTTATCAAATTCTAACATATTTTTTAGAAATATTAGTTTCCGCTTGGCAGCTAACAGCAACCTCTATCTGTGTGTATCTATTCTCTATTTGAATAGAAGGTCAGTTAGCCTGTTTGTTGTTTTTTTTATTTGGATAAATGTACACATTGTGTTTCATATTTCGTCATGGTGTAATCACACAATTCTGCATTTTATTGAGATTTTCTGCAGAACATCAACAAAAAGAATTGTGAAGTAGAAAACATTCTTTAGATCGTTTTCAAACCTTTAAACAATTAAAAATCTGAAAAGTATCTATTTGTAATTCAATCCCCCTCACCAAGTTACATCCACAATTGTGTTGATTTTTATACTATGTTTGCACCTCTGATTAACATTTTGCACAGAGATTGATCTGAAACCATTTAAACTTTTCCCTTTTTAATATGCAAAAAATGTTGAACACCATTTCTACTTTTCATTTTACTTTATAACTATGCACTAGGCAGATGGTCTACTACATAAAATCCCAATAAAACACTCAGTCGTTTTAAGGTGACAAATTGTGCAAACGTTAAAGTGGTCTGAATTTTAAAATTAAGTTGTGTTTTTTAATGCATCATCTTTGGTCCAATTTTTTTTTTTTTTTTACACATTAAGATTCTTGTTTTAAATATTGCTTACATCTAGAAAAGGAAGCCAATCCAGCAACATTACTCCAGATTATTTTAATATAGTTTTGCCAACAAAATCTTCGAGCAGACACCATAAGATGTGAAATGGTATTAAAAGATGTAAAAAAAAAATAATTCTGGAAAATAACAGAAAACGCTACTCCGCAGATGATTGTGGTGCTTAAGCTAGCATCATCATGCTATATTTATACAGCTGACATGAAACAATTCCCCAACTGACTCACTCAGTGATTTACAGAAATATCAACGCTTTGTTTAATTTATGAACTGGTCATCATTACTGCCACCTGCTTGCTCTGCATCGTGTGTGTGCGTGTGTGTGTTATTAGCACAGAGAAGCCGAGAGAGAAACTTAAAGCTACAGTGTTATAATAATACTAGTCCAGCCTTAGTTTTCAGATTACTTTGTTCCTTCATGTCCTCCAGATCCCTCAGGTCTTCGGTTGATAGCAAAGGTGAGAACTAAAACATGCAGTTAATTATTTCTCTTCCTGTCACGACCCTCCTGAACACCAGGGGGCAGCTCAGAGTTTGGATACGTTTGAATGCAAACTAATGATACATCTGTTCAGTCTTTTAGATTAACTTTATTGTTATCAGTTTCTTATGTTTTTTTTTAGTTCAGTATTTTTATTTCACTTTCGGTTACTAACAAATTGAGCAACTTTTATATCATCACTATGCTAATACATTGTTTCATGTTATTTTTTTTTGCAAAAATATAATTTAGGCAAAAACAAAATCACTTTTGCAAATTAAAAAACAAAACTTATTTTAGGAAGGTGACAGTATAATCTATTCATGTTTTGATTCAGATTTCATTTTCTAGCAATAACATTTTTGTAGTCCATATTTATTGGGTTGAGATCACTATCTGTAAGATTGAATTTTCATAATTCATCTCCTATGTTTAATTAAATAAATTATCTTTTTAAATTCTTCAATATTTTAGATTATAAAAAAATCACACTGCATTTTTCCATGTTTCTGTGTAAAGAGTGTGTTGCACTTGGATCAGTATTAATCTGTTCTATTAATACAGGTTAACTGAGTAACAGTGTGAAAGAGTAAAGATTTCTGAAGAAAAGATAAATAACGGCAACGGTTTAGGATTTACTCAAACAATCTCTAAAAATACATTTCCAATTTTACCAGTTTCACCCGCAGGCACACATCGACTACCAGCAGACTCAAAAAATCATTTCACAATGGCACCATCCTGAATCATTAAACCCAAACTCAGAGACGAAGCAAATGCAAAGCAGAGTCCAGTAACGATGTGGACGCAGATGGTCTGAAGATGTGCTCATGAGCACTGATTTCCTGCATCCTTCAAAGGACTAATTAGGTTCTGAAAATGACTGTTTAAGAGGCGAAACAGTGGAAAAAGAAAAGTTGAACAAAACATTTGGAGTTCTTAAATCTGCTGGGATTTAGCAAACACTCGAGGTGTGTTTGACACAACGGGAAACTTGTTAGTTTCACTTTGTGTCAAACAGCACTTCTCCCCTCTTTATGCAAGACAGCAGAGAGGAAAATGTGGATTCAATGCAGGCTGTTCAAACGTTTTAAACTGTATACCAAAATTGGTGAATTGAAAGCACCCAGGGGACACAAGTTTCTTCTTCTTTTGATTAAAATTAATATAACTTGTTTGTGAATTATTTTCTGACACATTATCAGGTTTTTCTGTGTTTTTACAGTTTTCTACACATTTTCTTTGGTTAGATCCTGTTATGAATGCTTAAGCTAGTTAGCATAACCACTAACGATATCGGATAACTGTTTTCCTGTAACACTAAGTTGTTTCTCCAGCATTAGCACATTAATGATCAACAGCGCTAAGACCCGCCTCCTGGCTCTGATTGGTTGTTTTTAGTCAGTAGCTGTGTATTCAGGAAGGAGATCGATGTTTTACAGACTATCTGTCTCATATTACGACGTCACGACAGTTTTGACAAATATACAAAAAACATATTTTTTATAAAAGTTGAATACTTTTATAAAGAATATTTTAATGAAACCGAGTTTTTAACCATTTGGGTATTTCCCTGTGATAAATCACCAGAACTCTGAACGTTTGAAGACAGACTGCTGCAGAGTCGACTGTTGTTGTGTTTAGCATTTCTTCCCACAGCGCGTCACTGAACTTGGCTGTAGCTTTAGAGGAACCACTCAGCATTTTGAGTCTGGTAGTGGTGACACATGTGCCTCAAAATGTTGAGAATGCTGTCAGAGCCGTGACATCAGGATACATTTACTACAGCGTCACATGCCGAGCCCGAGGTGACTGTCACCTATGGCTGGAGTTTTGTCAGATGCCATGTCTCTGCCTTTTTATTGACTGACAGAAATCAGCCACAGTTTCTGTCAGTCGCTTGTTTTTGTGATCACACCAAACAAAGGTAATGAAAGTTGTCCTGTAAATAAACTTGGTTCAACCTTTTAGATAAAGTTAAACGATTGCAAGCTGACTTCCTGTTTTAATGTTTCTACTCGATGGTACAAGACAATCCAAAACACGACGACTAGTAGCAGGACTTAAGGAGTGTGACAGACAGAGACAGACAGACAGAGCAGGGTTGGTAAACAGATGGACTAACAAACTGAGACAGAAAGACAGGACCTATAAATACACAGAGGGGCTGACAAGGCTGGTGAAAACAGTGAGGAGCAGGACGGGGACAAGCTAGCACCAAGCAGTCACACACAGCAGGGTGAAAGAAAAAAAGTTTTTCACACGTCCATCGATCGGCATCAAATTCCCACCAGGTATCAACAACAAACCGAGTAATCCACACACAAGAAAGAAATCACAGGAAATGAGTCATTAGATGAGATTATGAGTGGAATTTGGAGAGGCATGGTGAATAAGTATTGGACACACGTAAGAAATGGAAAAGACAGTTTTTTTGGAGACGGCAGCTTCAAAGACTCCAGGTAGAGAAGCGGTTCACAGCAGTGATTTCTGACTGCGTTCTTCCACATAAACTGTCTTCAAATCTTTAAAGTTCTGGGGGTCCTTCACATCCCCTCTGAACTTCAGTGATTGTTTTTTCTTCACTGTGACTTTGGGTCTGTTGTCTCGACTCTTTCATCCTTAAAGTTTTATCAAGAATGTCCTGGTCCATTCTTCCTTCACTTATATAAAGTCCTTCAGCTTATGGCATGGCGCTGAGTCATCCTGTCTCCAAACTTGGTGTGATCGATGACACAGATATTTTACTTTAGGCACTAACATCTGCATCGAAATTAGGAATTTTTTGACATATTGGTATCAGTCAGACAAATCCAACCAACACTGGTTTTTATTTTGTTTCTGAGCATTTTTTGCCAAAGGTGTTAAAAAAGTAGAGCATTGGTAAATAGTAGTTATACAAGACTGTTCAATATGAACTATGTAGGAAAGGATATGAAGAAAATCTATCTACCTATCCATCCATCCATTTATTTACTTCTGGTTTGCCTCAGAAACATCTCTCGTCTTTTGGTTTCCAGATCTTTTAAAAGAAAAACCGTGTCTCATAATTCCCAATGTGTCGTGCAAATGAGTCAAATAATCCTCTCCTGCTGAATTAACCTTACACTGTCATTGGGGTTTTGCCAGGTCTCTTGCAGCTTTTCTGACTGCTCTGTTTTTTCTCTCAATTGCCTTGTTGCTGAAAATGTGCTCTATAAATAAAATTACCTTACCTCATTACATCTGTCTGTCTGTCTGTCTGGTTGATGAAACCTCACTGCTGAGGGCTGAAGGAGGAGCAGAACCCTTGAGCACCTGATTGACATTTGTTTGGAAATTCCAGCTTATATGTTTTATGTTACCAACTAACTTTTGAGTCACATTGTTATGTAACAGGAAGGCGTTTCGGTGGTTCAGGAGGATGTAGCAGCTGTAAATCTCTCACAGTGATCAATAGAAACAACAGGTTATTTCGGGGGGAAAAAACTAGCATTTTTTTGAAGGGGCAGTATTATGTGTTTTCCAGACACATAGTGCCACTTTACAGCACAAGTAAGTAAAAATGTTACCTTCAGATTCTTATAAAAATGATATATATAATACAACTTAAAAGAAATTTTACTTTGTAGCTTAATGCCATGAAAATGGGCCTCTTGTCTCTTTAAAAACTTCTGCTCTTTCTGAAACTCCTCCTTCAGGAAGCCATCAAACATGGCTCCTCTATTAACCTTTTTGCAATGTCTTTACCAGTGTTGTACTAAGAAGTAGATC